TTTTTTTTTTTTTTTTTTAATTTTTTTTTTCAACGTTTATTTATTTTTGGGACAGAGAGAGACAGAGCATGAACGGGGGAGGGGCAGAGAGAGAGGGAGACACAGAATTGGAAACAGGCTCCAGGCTCCGAGCCATCAGCCCAGAGCCTGACGCGGGGCTTGAACTCACGGACCGCGAGATCGTGACCTGGCTGAAGTCGGACGCTTAACCGACTGCGCCACCCAGGCGCCCCCCTAAACCTCCATATTCTTAAAAAATGTTGGTAATATCTAATTCTGTAATACTATCTTTGGCATTGATTCCATTTAGACTGGAATTTCATGTAGTGAAAGGGTCATCAGGTTTCATGCAATCTAGTGATGTTCAATCTAAGTTGGCACCAAATTTGACATTCATGGTATTTGGACAGATAATATATTTCTGTTAATGACTATATTAGAAAATGTGATTGGCTCATTTTGCTAATGCTTGAATGAAAAGACATTATTTTAAGTAGGCATATTTAGTTTCAGCTCTCATTTGAAATAACCCCCCAATATTTGCAAGGTTAATCCTTTTCCATTGTTTTCTGTGTGCCCTCTGCCAGCATTACTTAGAGCCCCCAGTGAAACTGAGTGAGGCTCTAGGAAGATACGGACTTAAGACTGAAGATTTTTTTGTCTTGAAGCATGGAGAATCCAGATACCTCCATACTGACGATGAAAACTCTGAATGAATGTGAGCACGTGAGCTTTTAGTGAAAAAGGTATCCTCTAAGCTTGTAGGAAAGACTAAGAAATTCATGAATATTAGGATGTTTTACATTTGTAAACCACTTCTATAAGTTTGTGTTGTATGTTTTGTGTGACGGCTTGCTTGCTACTCCAAATGCCAGTTCATATAAAGAAGAGTTCAGAGGTGGGTCATTTAAATACTGAATTGGCAGAGGGGAATTTGAATCCTGTCTCAATGGTAGAAGCACTGAAATGGAATTTTTTTTAAAGGATTATGCTTTAGTGGTAGAATTTGGAAGTTAGGAAAACTGATTTTAAAGTCTTCTTTCTGTTCTTCTGGTGAAGGGCCTTCTACAGGTTAAGTCTGTCTACTTAGATGGTTTGAGTCTGCACATCTAAACTTCTTAATTCACATTAGAGTAAGTGATGGAATGGACACCTACCTGCTTACAGCATTTCTTGTTGTTCTGTCCACATTAGCTTATATGCCAAATGTTGAATGATTTATTTTTTTAAGTATAAAACCACAGGAGATTGGGCTAAGTTACCATTTTTAAAGACATCATTGTTTCAAAGAGGAATGATATATTTTGTTGCACATCCCCAGTCCCCAAATCAGAAGCTGCCTGAGTTGGGCAGAGGAAGGGAGAGTGTGGTTATGAGGACATGATTGATGACATTTTCTATTTTTAATCTACAAGTCAGACCTGCTGAGCACAAAGATCACTGCAAGGAAATAGTATTTTGCAAAGATAAATGCAGATCTTAAAATGTTAACAATTCCTTCTATATTCTCTTTTCTCTCCACCTACTCATCCCCCCCCCCGTTTCTTAGCTCCAACCCTCGATGTATCAATAAGATTTATAAATAATTTATGTTTTACATGATTCAGAGGTCTTATATTTTTATATTAAATGACCCATACGCACAATTCTGCTTTTACTAAGCTAGCACGGAATACTAGCAGTTTAAAAGTAATTCTAGGAATTAGGTGACCTGAGTTTAGTCCCGTAAGGGCCCTGGGATTGCTTGATTGCTCTGAACATTCCTCAGAGCCAATGAGGTACATTAGAGGCCCATCCCATCTTCCTGCTCCCCAGTCTCAGTGAAATAAATTTCATTTGCAGAATAATCAAAGTAGGTTTTTTACAGCATATGCTACACGGGCACTATTCTATTTATTTTCACGTACACATCTATGCATGCCACCTGTTAGCCACTTAATTGGAATTTTAATCCTGCTTCCACTACGGTTTTCTGTGTATCCTGCCACAAGTCACCTACACTCACTGTGCCTCAGTTTCCTCATGTGCAACAAGAGGATAATTTTGACCTACCTCCAAAAAAATGTGAATAGTGATATTTTAAAAAGCACTTTGAAAATATAAGGGAGAAAATTATTTCTTAAGACCTCACTGCCTACTAGAGATCTGAAAGCTAAAACTAGGCTCATGCTTTTGGTCGCGTATCATTCCCATTGCAGATTCAAGCGTCTGTACCTAGGACATGAAACACTGAGGATTAACAACTTCAGCTCATTTTGTAAATTTGGGGAGTAATAGCCAAAATAAATGTAAATGATCTTCATCAAAATTTAGCATTTTTTATCTTACAAAGATGCAAATCTGTCAGGGGGAAATGTGTATATAATGTGTGTGAATGTATGTGATTTGGAGGCACTAAAGCACAAAAAATTTCCCTATAAGATAACCTTCAGGAAAACAAAAACTGAACCACCATAAACCTTTCACTCCGGAGGAACATTCTAGCAAGCAGATGGGAATGGAGAAGTTAGGTTGATGGTGGATTAGCTTTGGGGCCTGGTGCCCTGACACTGGCTGTGTTCACGCAGTCGCCCTCCTTCTGTTGCACGCTGCATTCAACGCGCATCTCTTGCCTCTGCTCTCTGAAGCAGACAAAGCTCATCTTAATTTGCTCCATGAATGGCCTTAACATCATTTCTGTATTCATGTGCACTGTGTAACTGCGGGGCTCTGAGCACTTTAAATTATGTTCTAGTTCCACTGAATTAGGCCTGCCTCCTCACAAGCTTTAATTTTTATTACCGTTCACATTCTTTCTGTGTTGACATTTTGTTAAGTACATCGAGCTTCAGGTCTCCTTGTACAGTCTCTTTCTATTGATTTCCATTGTCTCACTTAGCTACATTTGTACGTTTATGTACAAAACAAAACCAAATTTTGAAAAGCCAGATGCACTCTTTAGCCTCTATTCATTCTAACCTCTGCGGTAATACCTTTTACTCGATCTTATTTGATCAGTTTTATTTTGCTCTTTGGCACCCGTTCGAACATGTGAGATTTGATTGAGGATTCCTTCTCCTGGGGAACCCCTTGATGTTCCTCCCTGCCTGGAGGGTGGGATCGCCCAGTGGGGGGCAATCCTGAGAAAAGCCAAGATATGCCATGATCTGCACCAACCTAGATCCGTTTGTGTATTTTCACATTTCAGACCTAATGCTCTGATCTCCAGGAAATGGGATGATCTATTCAAACTAAAAACAGAGGAAAGAAGATGCGGGGTTTTAGAATCCAGTGCTGCCAAAGCACATTAAAGCCAAATCCTAGTTTTTATCATGTGCACACTTTGATTTTCACTAACGAAGGCAGATTTTTAAAAAATTCGTTATAAAGAAATGTGCCTTTCAGGGAATTAGTACTTTTATTCATCAGTGATGCAAACCTAAGTAGTGTTCTTAGCATATACACGTTACTGCTATAGCCACCTGGGAACTTCCATGTTTTCACCTTAATACTGAATCCTTTTTCTACTCTAAAAGTAATTCTTCCAAGTTTGATTTCTATATTGGGATAAGCCTGAAAATACACATTTTTCTGTTTGAGGATCTGTGACTTCCTATGGAAATCCACATATTTACGAATGAACTTAAAGTACTCGTACGGCTTTGCCTTAACTACCTGGAGTAGGAAAACTTCTGCTTGCATACTGGTTTACTTAATACTAAGCATGGTGATGGTTATGAACTTGAACATTATAAAACCTGGCTGAATGGAAATCTATTAATAAGTTGTTACAATAGCTTATGGAATAAAAATTTACAATATGTGAAAATCTCTAAAATATGGATGAAAATTAATGAATAAAGTACTATCAAGAGAAAATGTGTATGAACTCTTTTCCTTTTTATTTAAAAAATTATAAAACTTATGCTCATAGTAAAATTCAGACAATTGAAGGGTAAACATAGAAAAGACCTTTCCTCAGTCCCATCTTGGTATCATTCTAGAAAATATTCTCTCTGGATGGAAGCATAAATTGTTCATTTAAAAAACACATGCCTATTTCATGGATGCCTTTCCACATGAGCACATTCAGACTTGCTTATTTCTTCTAAGATTAGGTAAGTGACTTAACCAGTTGCCTGTGGATGGACATTTGATTATACACGGCATCTTCACAGGCTGGTGTACTGAGTGGGAGTGGTAAGGACGGGGAGAGTTTTCACCAACTCAGACTAAACTCTAATGCTGGGAACAGACTTCTGGAAGCATGTGGTATGGCTGGGCTGGGGGGTGGCCTCAAAGGCTCAGGAACTCTACCACGAGAACAAGGTCATTCCTGCAGCAGCCCCGACGAACTAATTAATCACACACTAATGGGGTCTCAGACAAGTAACTGCACATCACTTCTAAGGGCAGGTTAGCTTACACATAAAAAAGAAAACTGTCATGTCACGTAGAGGAAATAATTGAAGTAAACTCCACAAACGGCAAAATAAAAAGACATGCTTTCAGAACAAGCTCTTCATTTGGTATCAATAAAATGGTTCAAAATAAACCAGAAGACCATGGCAAGTTATGTTGTGTTAATGTTGAAATGTTGTGTTAATGAGGAAATTACCATTTAAATTCAGCAGGTGAAAAGAATTTCAGCTCCCTTGGTAAGGAAGATGAAAAATAGGACCAATTAGAATTTTGGTAATACTGTTACCTTTTCCTTCACGTCTGCATCATGGTGATCAACTAAAGCTCTCATTTTCTGGGCACATTCTTCTCCGTATAACAGGAAAAACAGTGAACCTTTAGGGAAAGTAGGCTGCATAGCTGAACAGCCTTCTTTTTTGCAGCAGTTATTTATGTTCTGAAATAGCGTAAGAACCCGAAGAAGGATCTCCTTTGCCACATGGCCGTCATAAAGGGAAAGAAATGATGAATCCACCTGAAATAGGAAACAATGACTATTTTTTAAATTTTTGAAAATATTTTTCATGTATATTTTCCCACTTGAAAACTACACTGAATACATTTAAAAAAATCTTGTCATAGAAAATTATCCCTAAAATCACCTAACATAAATGTAAAATCTTAATGCACCCCTATACTGTATACCAATGGAAAAAAAGAGGCTTCATAGTTTTAGCTGAAAAATTCTGTTTTCTTAGAGTCCGAGATTGTAGTCATTTGGAAAAACACCCATATCCTTTTTAAGGTCCAAGTTTCCTCACGGGAGCTCATCAACTCCCCAGACATTTGCTGCCCACTGCACACTGTGGGCATGAGCATGGGGCACATGGATGAGGTCACTGTCACAGGTTCCCTCCTTTACAGGAGTTGATGCCTGTTTGCTATCAGTACCGCCTTTGCTTTCTTCAGAACACTTATCACAGCTTTTAGTGATCTTGTTTTGTTACATATTTTTGTCTCTTCTCACAAGCTCCACGAGGACAGGCACCATGCCACGTGCGCCCACTGGTGTGTCCTGGCACTCAGCCCGGCATCTGGCACATCCTGGGGACTAGGTAGGTGAAGACTAGTGTTTCAGTGGATGTGAAGATACATGTGAACACAAGTAGGTCAAGTATAGGAGATGTGATGACATACTGGTACCCCAAAATGGACAGGCAGAACAATTATAATTTATTATTGTCAGGGAGAACTTTTCCAAAATGATTTTTAAAAGGAAAATATGTTCATTACAGAAAATTTGGGAAATTCATATATAGGCAAAAAGAACCAAATTAAAAAAATCTGTTAACATGTTGGATAAATCTCTCTAGGCCAAATCTATATATTTGTATACTTACAAAACAAATATGTAAACTACTTACTTGGGCACCAAGTAGTCCTTCTGCCATGGCTGGATTTTCAGATAAATTCACAAGCAGCTTCAAAACTTGAACCTGAAATAAGAATAATACTGGTTTGTTTCAGACCAGTGAGCGTGGATTTTCCCTTCCCGGCAATACTGCCCTCTCACTGCGGTCACATTCTAAAGTCCTGCCCGGGCTTCCGGGTCTGGCTCAAATCCTTTGCCCCACAGAGCCCTCTCTGCGTGCATCTTGTGAGGGCCTCTCTCCTCTTCCACACCTGGCGCACTCCGGGAGCACTTCTCACACAGCAGGCTTATTTAAACCTTACTTTTTCAAGTACATCGTCAGGGAAGAGATCCTGAATGTCTCATTGCCTACCCAACCCCCAACCCATGGTAATAAACTTAACATCTGTTTCATAAATGAGCTTTATTATGATTACTGGTAAGTGAAATACGATCTTTGGAACAAAAAAAGAATCTCTCAAAGCTTGGTTTATTTCTATTTAAAGTATGAAAATCTTGGAGCAGTTCAGTTACCGAGACTAGATAAAAATATGGCCCTTTTCTTTTTTAGTAGGTTACTATGAACCTTTGAGCTTATCTTTTTTTATATGAAAAATATGTTAAAATCTTTCAAATAGGCAGTGATAAAAATAATCAGCAAACAAATGTTAACTTCTAGCAGACTAGCTAGAATACTGGCATTCCCATCACTTACAACTGGTCAGTATAGACCCCCTGTCTGCAGGGGATACATTCCAAGACCCCCAGCACACACCTAAAATCATGGACAGTATCAAACCCTATATATACTATGTTTTTTCCTACACATACATACCTAGGATAGTTTAATTTATAAATTAGGCAAAGTAATAGATTATCAATAGTTAATAATAGAATTCCAGTAATGTGCTATAACAAGTGAATGTGACCTCTCAACATATCGTTCAAATTTTAGTGTTTGTGAAGTGAGCACTCTCAGTATATTGTTCTGTGCTCATCCTTTTTTAATGTTTATTTTTGAGAGAGAGAGAGAGAAAGAGAGCAAGTGCAAGTTGGGAAGTAGCAGAGGGAGAGGGAGAATCCCACTGACAGTGCAGAGCCTGATGTGGGGCTCGAACTCACGAACCATGAGATCATGACCTGAGCCAAAGTCAAGAGTCGGATGCTTAACTGAGCGAGCCACCCAGGTGCCCCTCACCCTTCTTATGAGGTAAGGTGATAAAATGCCTATGTGACAAAATGAAGTGAGGTGAATGACAGGCATTTTGATTATTTGGCTACTAGTGACGTTCTGATGGTAAGTCAGAAGGACCATCCACGTCCCAAATGTGGTTGACAGCAGATAACGAACTACGGAAAGTGAAACCACACATAAGGGGGGTCTACTGTAAAAACATCATCAAATACAATTCCTGTTTACAAACAACAGTCATATAAAGCTATACTTTGTAAAAGACACTTGAAATTACACAAAGTGAGGAGTGGCGAAGGTGCTCCCCACCAGACCTGGGAGGGAACCTACATCTTTATTTTAGAAGACTTTTTGGGTTTTTTTTTTGAGAGCACAAGCCAGGGAGGGGCAGAGCGAGGGGGACAGAGGATCTGAAGTGGGCTCTGCGCTGACAACAGCGAGCCAGATGTGGGGCCTGAACTCATGAACCATGAGAGATCAACACCTGAGCTGAAGTTGGAAGCTCAACCAACTGAGCCACCACCCAGGCGCCCGGGAGACTTTTTTTTTTTTTTACATAGGCACTCTGTGTTTCTATAGAACATTTTGAAAAAGTGATAGGAAAGCACAAAGGAAAAGGAAATTCACCCATATTTCCGTGACTAGAAACAATCACTATTAAGTTTTGGTATTTTCTTTCTGGTCTTTTTATATACCTATCCTATGTATGCATATATTCCTTTGATCATGTTGTACATACTAATTTGTTAAAGAGGATAAAAGGGTTTGCTTAATTTTATTTATCAACTATTTAAAAAATTTTTAAATGTTTATTTTGAAAGAGAGAGAATCCCAAGCAGGCTCCATGCTCAGTGTGGATGGAGCCTGATCCCCCAACTGCAGACGACTGAGGCACCCAGGCGCCCGCACCACTGTGCTTTTATAAAAGACCTACATAATTAGTACCTGTTTCTCTACCCAAAAGAAATCCAAAGAGGATTTTCGCTTTTACAAAAAAAAAAGGCAAAAAATGAAAACAGGGTTGGGTGCTTGTTTTGCAGCATTAGTGGGGGCATCATGCACCCCGGGAGCTCCTCTCGGCATCTCAGCATCAAACAGCCATAGCTTTGAATTGTGCCTGTGAGCATCTGCGCTTTATCTTGATTTATTTTGTGCATCTGTGAGCAAGATATGTTCCACGCTATCAGAAAAGCCTGAGAGAGGTTTTTTCTTGGGTCTGGGACCACTCAAAACTTTTTCCATATAAATTAATGCTAAGTGCTGCTTCGCGTCATGCCATTTTGGCTTACGAAAAGATTTACAGGAATGCCCTACTTTCAGATAGCAGGGGAGACCTGTGTTTGTATTTTGGTTTGAACCATGTTAAGCTCTTTCTCTTATCACATGTGCCCTCTTGTGGTGACTCCATGACATTTCTTTCAAGCCATTAGTTCTTTGCTCTCACTGGAGATTTAACAAACACAGGGTTTATTTATGTTAATCTCCCATTACTTATATTTGGTTAGGAATCACTGCTGTACCCAAAAGATTATTATAGGATGGTCAGATCTCTTATTAAAAATAAGATTTCTAGGGGCGCCTGGGTGGCTCAAGCAGAGCAGCACTCTTGATCTTGGCTCAGGTCATGCCCTGCATTAGGTTCCATGCTGAGAGTGTGGAGCCTGCTTAAGATTCTCTCTGTCTCCCCACCCCTCTCCCCCACTCATGTGCTCTCTCTAAAAAATAAATGAGAAGGGGCGCCTGGGTGGCTCAGTCGGTTAAGCGTCCGACTTCGGCTCAGGTCACGATCTCACAGTCCATGAGTTCGAGCCCCGCATCGGGCTCTGGGCTGATGGCTCAGAGCCTGGAGCCTGCTTCCGATTCTGTGTCTCCCTCTCTCTCTGCCCCTCCCCCGTTCATGCTCTGTCTCTCTCTGTCTCAAAAATAAAATAAAACGTTAAAAAAAAAATTAAAAAAAAAAAAAAAATAAATAAATGAGAAAAAAATTAAGTGAAAGATTTCTAAAAATAAGTTTTCATTTTGGTGGTTATTTGCTAAGAAAATACCTAAAACGGGTACATTTTCTCACAAGTGGATTATTGTCCATTAGCAGCTCATTTGTAAGTTGGAACTTTGCATTCACTTTTTATGGAAAAATGATGTTATAATTGGGGTCAGGTTCCCAGACAGACCAAAAAAGCAAATTTGCTATCCCAGAAATGCTGTACTAGGCAATGGAATGGAAAAACAAAACAAAAATAGAACATACTATTGTGGTGTGAGTCACCTTCTAAAAAAGTCATAAAATATATTAAAACACAGACCATGTCTGAGACAGATCCATACAGCCCCAAGGCCAGACTCGCCTGGCTCGAAACTCAGCGTTTCTCCTGAGGTTTTGGGTAAAGCAGCTGCAGACTGGGGAGAGGAGAGATCTGTCCTATATTTGTGATGCTACTGGGAACAGGGAAGGGTTTCCATGGCGCCTCAGAGGCTGAAAGTTACCTTGCTCCCCTGGGGAAAGAGATGTCGATGGGTGCTTGTGTTTTGGAAACTGCGTATGAATGGAGCATACTGCAAAAATACTGCTAACAAGATTATTACATTTAATGTTCAGTGCCTTTGGGTAAATCTTAGACCAGATGCAAATAAGTCTGGCTACTGGCAAAGTGGAAAGTCTGGAACAAATTTTAAAAGGACTGTAGTGAGGCTCTCCTCATCACATTTGATAACCTCAGACATAAGGGTTATGATGATGTTGAATATTTGAGGTATGGCTTCAGTGATGTTGAATATTTGGGGTATGGCTTCACATTTAGTCCTTCTAAAATGCTCATGTTTTTCTTTCAACCGTGCCAGAGAACACTGACCAATATAGTAAAACTCTGATGAATGACCAACCCAACTAATCGGAACCTTTGATTAGTCTACCTTCTGTTTTTATGCTGTTTCTCAAAGAATGGCACTTGAGAAAAATGCCCACTAATATGAGGGGTTTACCCAAGTTACTTTCATGGGGTGTTTCCTGAGATCCTACTTAATTCAGGTTAGTCTCTGTTACCTCCTACCATCTACACAATTGGTCAAAATCAAGCACCGAGACATCTATTACTAATTTAAAAGTGGTTTTCAAAAGATTTTTCAGCAAATAATGTCTAAATCAAAAAAATGTTTCTAACCCCAGGCTAAGCAAAAATTCAATTAACCAGCATTAACTCAGAGACTCATTTTACTCAATTATGTATAATTATACCTGGTGGTGGGGGGAGCCACCCATGTCACCTCAGTAAAAGGCAAACTGGTTTTCAGAAAATCAAACAAATGTCAATCTATGGATAAGTGAAATAACAGATTTTCACAAATTAATTTTAAAATTGAATATTTGGGGATAAACATAATTAACTTTCTTGGGTCCATGAAAAGCCTTTTAATAAACTTTCGATTCCAGGGACGCCTGGGTGGCTCAGTCAGTTAAGTGTCTGACTTCGTCTCAGGTCATGGTCTCACAGCTAATGGGTTCAAGCCCCACATGGGGCTCTGTGCTGACAGCTCAGAGCCTGGAGCCTGCTTTGGATTCTGTGTCTCCCTTTCTCTCTGCCTCTCCCCCGCTTGCACTCTGTCTCTCTCTCAAAATTAAACAAACATTAAAAAAAAATAAAAATAAATAAAAAACTTTCAATCCCAGTCTTAATAAACTTGATGCAATAGTTCCTTGCACTTCAAGTCATAACCGTTTCATTCGTACCTTGGTACTTCCATTTCCTGTAAGCAACACATGGAACAGGTCTGTAATGTAATTGTGAAGCATGTGCTGGTGGTCGTTTGTAACTGTCATGTTTGTTAACAATCTCAGTCCAGCCAGCTGCACAGCAGAGTCCAGGGGACCAGAGAGGACATCCTTACAAACTTGATTGATGTATACCTAGGGGGAAAGAAGTGAGCATCTTAATTCTCCAAAAGTCTGTCTGTTAAATAGTAACTTTTCTGCCCAGTGGAGCAGGGCAGTTGCTCAGGATGAGACCGGCTCCTCAGAAAAGACATTTCTATCCAGCCCTTGAACTTGGGCAACATTTTTGATTTTTAAAGCTACCTTTAGGTAGCTTTTTTGTTAATGCCAGGCAATGTACGAGCATTTTACAAATACACCTGACTTAATCCAGAAGAGGATGGCCATTTTACAGATAAGGACAAGTCCTCAAGAAACTTGGATCCCCAGCCCAATATCAAGCCAGCTGGTAGGGGAGCAATGTCCAATTCCAGAGACCATGCTCTCAACACCAGTGGTCTCTCAATTATTGGGGGCCTCCCAACTCAGTCTACCTTTCTGTGTTAACTGGTCTAGGCACACTAGGACCAAGGAGGAAGACATGTCTGGCCATCTGGCATCAAGGTAAGTATCTTAACAATAGGACCCTATCCTTACGAAGTAAAGAATAGAGGAAACAGTGAAAGAATTTTTCTCTAGGGTTAGTTCTATCAAAAGGAGAGGGAAAACTCTCTTTGGCCCAGTTTTCTTATTTACCTAGTTTATGCATACGAATTACTCCTTCCTGATACTGTTAACTGCCACTGGCAAAACAAAATGCAAACAGTACAGGAGTACTATTTCACACATGATAGAATTGAACCCACCGGTGATGGAAAAGTTTTCTGAAACTGTTTTCTATTTCTGGCCAGGATCTTTCCAGCTTGGAAAAACTAGGTCTCACAGATAATTACTATTCACCTAACTAAAAACTCCACCAGAAGTTCTAACTGCTAAAGAAAAAAAAATTCCTAATATGAAATGCTAAGAAATTACCAATTGTCCCATAAGCCAATTCTAAGTTTTTTAAAAAACCGAAGGTATCCATGGTACCATAGAAACTAGAGTAATGGCAGTAAAGTAAAGAGAGACTAGATTTTTAGTCTTGTTTCAGATCTGATATAAGTCACCTGGCTCTCTTTGGCCAGAATTTCATCACATACCTACCCATCCTTAGAAAAAAAAAAGGGGGGGGGGGACATTTCTTTAGCTCTTTATAAATCATATATCTTCATAAGAGGCTGATGTCTTTCAAAGCATTTCCTAAAATGCATTGAGCATTTTTCTTTTTTTTAATGTTTATTTATTTTTGAGAGAGCGCATAAGCAGGGAAGGGGCAGAGAGAGAGACAAGGAATCTGAAGTAGGCTCCAGGCTCTGAACTATCAGCATAGAGCCTGACCTGGGGCTCAAACTTGTGAATCACAAGATCATGACCTCACCCGAAGTCAGATGCTTAACCAACTGAGCCACCCAGGTGCCCCAATATTATTTTCTCCGAGTCTTTTCACCGGTTCAATTTTAGAAACAAGATCACCAGATGGGCCACCTTGGTTATTCCTGGAGCTGCGCCCACCTCCCCTTGCTCCTTTTTCTTGGAATTCCCTCCCTCCCCAACTTTGCTTCTAGAAACCAGACATTCTTCAGAGCCAGGTTGTACTCTACCTTTTACAAAACTTTTGGATGAGATCTCGTCCTTCTATGTACTCAACAATGTTTTACTTACATTTTTCCTTTAAGTACTTCATGTTCTGCCCTGCATCATGCCTGTTTATGGAGTTGCCTTCTCTCTCCTAGCTTTCTTAAAACAAGAGTTAATTGTGTTCATTTCTAAACTCTGTACCACAAAGTAGGAGCTCAATGAATGCTGAAAAAACAGAAGTTCCTAATTTATTTTATCTTTCTGCTGATATTACCAGACTCTGACCAGTTTCCTTTACACACTTGGATTAAAACGAACCCCAGGAGCACCTGGGTGGCCCAGCTGGTTGAGCGTCTGACTTCAGCTCAGGTCATGATCTCACGGCTCGTGAGTTCAAGCCCCACGTCGGGCTCTGGTGCTGACAGCTTGGAGCCTGGAGCCTGCTTCGGATTCTGTGTCTCCCTCTCTCTCTGCCCCTAATGCACTAGCATTCTGTCTCTCAAAAATAAACAAACATTAAAAAAAAAAACGAACCCCAAACTCAAAAGCATAAGGCACCTCTTACTGCCTGGTTCAGATTCCTCCTTCCTCTGCCTTATTCTCCGTAAAAAATGGGCAGAGGACCTGAATACATATTTTTCCAAAAGATACACATATGGTCAATAGATAAATGAAAAGATGCTCAATATCACTAATCTTCTGGGAAATCACTAATCTTCTGGGAAATACAAATCAAAACCACAGTGAGGTCATATCTCATACCCAGAATGGCTACTGTCAAAAAAAAAAAAAAAAAAAAAAAAAAAAAAAAAAAAAAAAAACAAAGTCTTGGCAAGATGTGGAGAAAAGGGAATCCTGTGCACTGCTGGTGGGAATGTAAATGGTACAGCCACTATGGAACGCAGTATGGAGAGTCCTCCAAATATTAAATATACAACCACCATACGATCTAGCAATTCCAGTTCTGGGCATTTATCTGAAAACGGCAAAAAGAATAATTTGAAAAGACATATGTACCCACTATGTTCACTGCAGCATTATTCTTAACAGCCAAAACACAGAAATAACCTGTGGTGACAGGTGCATGAATAAAGCACATGTGGTCTATATACAATCGAATATTATTCAGCCATAAAAAGGAAGGAAATCCTGCCATTAGCAACCAATGGATAGACCTTGAGAACATTATGCTAAGTGACATGACAGAAAAAGACAAATACTGAAGGGATCTTTTATATGTGGAATCTAAAAAAGCTGAACTCACAGAATTAGAGTAGCGTGGTGGTTGCCAGGGGCTAAGGGATGAAGGAAATGGGGAGATTTTGGTCAAAAGGCACAAGCTTCTAGGTATAAGATGAGTAAGTTCTGGGAGCTAATGGATAACAGGGTGACTATACTGTATTATATACTTGAAAGGTGCTGAGAGAGTAGATCTTAAATGTTCTCACCACACACACACACACAAAAGGTAATTATGTGAGGTGATGGAGGTCCTAGGTAACACCATAGAAGACTCACACATTTGTGATTTCAGCTAACTTACCTTTATCTTCACTTGATTTTCAACATTCACACTCAGGTTATTCAGTGCATTTAAAGCCTTCTCTTTAATACTGTGGTTGGGATTATTGATTTTGCTTCCAATGATTGGAATACCACCCAATTCACGAATAATGACCTAAGAGGGAAAAAAACGAGGACCATCACTTCAATATGCACCCCCTTCATCAAACTTTTTGCATCTACAAATACAAATAAAAATTAATGACTCTTTGGGAATACCTTTCCTATGCACAATCTGTATTTCTTATTTTACTTATTTAGTTATTGTTGAGAGAGAGTGAGACAGACACAGGGTCCAAAGCAGGCTCTGTGCTGAGAGCGGAGAGCCCAGTGCAGGGCTCAAACCCACGAACCGCGAGACCACAACCTGAGCTGAAGTCGGAATCTTAACTGACTGAACCACCCAGGTACCCTTGTAATTCTTATTTAAAAAAAAAAATTATTAAATTTTATTAAAACTAAATTTCCATAATTTTATAGGTAAGAAAATAGATTGGAAATAAATTACGATACATAGTTATTTAAAAACTATAGCTTGGAGATATACAATGATTTGCAGAGCTACTTAAATGATCTCAAAGCAATTTACAAATGATTTTCCTCTGAAATAAGTTCTGGGACTTTCCTATTATAGGCAAATTTGGAAAAGTGTTATGCTTTGCTAAACTGTATTCTTTGGAACACAAATCCCTCAAGATATTAACAGATGTTCCATTAAGAAAAAAAAAAAAAAGGTTTCATGGTTAAGTTTGAGAAACTCTGTGTATATTAAGTGCAAACATTTCTTTATTGTGAAGCATTCATATATTCATCATGTGCACAGGGAATCTCCAAGAGGGGACCATTCAATATAGCATTTCCATGAACTGTACACAAAATAGAGGGAAGAGTGGGGTCAGAGGAAACACCTATCAACACCTGGAAGACTTGGGATTTCCACGCAATTTGGGAAATGATACCCATATTTCTGAAGAAATAATAATCTGGGGGATTTCTCACCATCAGTTGCAACACTATGCTACTACTATGCACCTCTGTCCTCAACATTAAAAGATGCATTAACTGCGTCTATTCTTACAAGAAAAGTAAGCTGAACATTACTCCTGTTGGGCCAAAACATGCCCTTCTAGGAGAAAAAGAACAAAAGAGTATCTTGCCATCATCCATTTTTTACCAAAAGCCCCAAGCCCTACTCTACTGTCCAGAGTGGGCTCAGCACTGGGAGAAAAAGAAACCCCCTGTGCAATCCAGGTTCTTCCCAAAGAACTGCGATTACTAGAAAACAGATTTTTGTTTGTTTTAACTATCCTACTAAAGTAGATGAAGGCACTGTAATTTACGACCAGGGGCACCAACTTCCATTAGCCAAGAAAACACTTGTTCAAGCAGTGGCTACAGACACACTCTTCAAGCTACAGTTTGTTTCAGAGAGATATGAAACAATGGCATCAGAAACAGCACTATATAGGCATGCTAACAGTCACCATCTGTTGTTTTTGTTTGTGTGATGCTCCCCCCTGCCCGGGGGGCAGACAGAGCACCTCTTTTCTCCCATTTAGTCTCTGGTGGGACGGCTGGGCGAATGTGCTCACACCACCACATCCATCCCCTGCTGTCTGGCTGTGAGATGCTCACGTGAGTCAAGCCTTGCTACCCGTGGCCCGGGGAGCCTTATTAGCACAGCACCTGACCCTGGCTGAGCAATTCCACCTTTCAGGGATGGAGGCTTGGGTGGCCAGTGGCTTTCTTTCCATCCTGTGAAGAAAACTTTCTTGTGGCCAAAGAGGTAAAAAACCAATATACAAAAAGAAGCAGGGATAAGCACATCCAAAAGATGGAGGGAGGGAGAGCTCTGATAATGCATTCCGGAACCTTAAACGTTTCCACTTGTGCCTGAAGCCAGTGCTATTCTTGGATGTCCAAGTTAACTGAGCTCAGTATTTTCCTTTTTGGTTTAAAATAATTTAAGCTGGGGGGCGCCTGGGTGGCGCAGTCGGTTAGGCGTCCGACTTCAGCAGGTCACGATCTCGCGGTCCGTGGGTTCAAGCCCCGCGTCAGGCTTTGGGCTGATGGCTCGGAGCCTGGAGCCTGTTTCCGATTCTGTGTCTCCCTCTCTCTCTGCCCCTCCCCCGTTCATGCTCTGTCTCTCTCTGTCCCAAAAATAAATAAAAGTTGAAAAAAAAAATAAAATAAAATAATTTAAGCTGGGGGCGCCTGGGTGGCTCAGTCATTTGAACGTCCCACTTTGGCTCAGGTCATGATCTCACGGTTCCTGGGTTCGAGCCCCGTGTCAGGCTCTGTGCTAACAACTCAGCCTGGAACCTGCTTCGGATTCTGTGTCTCCCTCTCTCTCTGTCCCTCCCCCACTCATGCTGTCTCAGTCTCTCTCTCTCTAAAAAATAAATAAATATTAAAAAAATTTTTTTGAATAATTTAAGCTGGGTTCTGTCACTTGCAACTGAAAGAATGAGTAATCAACAAATATTTTTTATATCTCCCTATAAATCTCAAAAGTTTTACAGTAAACCTTATCATGCTGGAAAAAACTTGACTGAAATAGAGTGTAAATTCAACATAGTTTTCATGACAAAGTTAATGAAAGGCATTAGTTAAAAACCATTCCAATTTTTTTTTTTTTTTTTACTTTTAGTGTTACCAAGTCGCTATTGGTAGAAGGTAACATTGGTTAGTGGTTGTTAGCAATCAAGGGCCCACCTGCATCAGAACCACCCCCACGAGACTTACATATAATAGAAAGCATGTACTTCAATGTTAGATGCTTTCACTTTTCAACTACAATACTAAATGTGGTGTAGATAACATTTATCTACTAACCAACGTGATGCCTGTGATGAACTTCAAGGGGACCTCAAATCCCAGTAACACTATGTCACTATTAGGATGTGCTTTTCAGGAGCAATCATTATGCTGTAGGGATACATCCCCACACCGTGTATATGAGGAAAGTGAGACTCTGGGATTAAGTACCTTATCAGGGTCACAATTACTGCTAGGGTGTAAGAATGGGAGGCACCCATTCTGAGACTAGATACTTACTTGGTTAGCTGAAAAGGCTGCATTGTTACCCAGAGTGACCAAAGCTCTTTCGATAATTATAGGATCATCAGTGGACTCAAGCAGGTAGAGGAGTTTCTGAAGCTGGTCAACATTTAGTATATCATCGTATGAACCATCGGTTAAATCTTCTGCAGAAGAACAAAGTTATTTAAAACTCTTTAAAATCAATAGGAGATTAAAGGATTTTTATTTTTATTATTTTGAGAAAGAAGAAAGTGAGGGGAGGGACGGAGGGAGAGAATCTTAAGCAGGCTCCACGCCCAGTGTGGAGCCTGACATGGGGCTCAATCCCACAACCCTGGGATCATGATCCGAGATAAAATCAAGAGTCAGATGCCTAACTGACTGAAACCCCCCGACCAAGTGCCCCTAGATAATATTTTTAAACAATATTGAATGCATACTCTGATGCCAGGCACAGTTTTAAGCATGTCATCTACTTTATCTCATTTAATGTTCCAGTAACCTTTGGAAGAAGATACCATTATAATTCTCAATTTACAGATGGTAAACTGAGGCTTACAGACATTAAGAAATTAGCCAATGGTCACTTGGTACTTCTTTCTTAGTAAGGCACTGCATGCTGAAACATTTTCTACTTCTTTTAAAAATCAGGTACACCTGTCCAATGGAACACTTGCCTAGAGGCATAGGTTATTGAAGGAAAAGGGTTTGCATTAAGCAGATGTTTTCTGATCACAATTTTAAGAATACCTCAGGCTGGAGACAAAGTTATGGGAGTAAGCCAATTATGCTGCTAGTGTGGCATTTTTGTTTGGTTGGGATTCTAGATGCTAGAATAACAGTGTTGCTGGGGGCAAGGACAAAAGCAAAGCTCTTGTTTTGAGTAGAGCTAGAACAGCTGAATACTGGATCTGGTCAGTGACTTAGTATTTATAGCTCTATCTTAAAAAAAAAACCCACAACTATATTTACAGAAATTACCACAGGAAGAATAGAAACCATTTTATAACACCATCATTGTGTGTTCGTTCCTGAAAAATGAACCTATGATTACAGGTTAGACAGTAGACATGTCCACAATTCACTGCCAGGGGAGGGGCAGCCTACAATAGTTGCTATATGATGTCATATCTGTGCCTTTAAAAAAATATATTTATTTTGAAAGAGAAAGAGAGGGAGACAGAGGATCCAAAGCAGCCTCTATGCTGATAGGACAGAGCCCGATGCGGGGCTTGAACTCATGAATTATGAGATCATGACCGGAGCAGAAGTTGGAAGCTTAACTGAGCCACCCAGAAGCCTCTGTGCCTTTTCGTTTTTAAAATATATACCAAATTATTAAAGGTGGTTATCTTTGGGTGTTGGATTTTGAATGACTTGTTTTCTATCCTGTGCTTAGGAATACTTTTTTTTTCTTTTTCGCAATATATATGTATCACTCCTGTAATGAAAATTAAGTACAGTAAAACCTTGGATTGCAAGTAACTTGTTCTGAGAGTGTTCTGCAGGACGAGCAAACATTTCTAATACATTCTAACTTGATAAAAGAGCAATGTCTTGCAATGCAAGCAGTATGTGATGACGGATGTCACATGATCACAACTGAGCCAATGGTGTTCTCCCTCTCTCACTGCAGGATTGTGGGTGATCATCTCCCATGTTCAGATGCTCAGCCTCAGGCTGTGGTGTTTGGCAGAAATCAGTGAATTTTCAGAACACTGGAAGGTGCTCACAACTGGCACTAGTGTATTTTTTGTCGCTTCAAAGCGCCTGTGGACAGTCCTTCACTTTTCCGTATTAAGAGTAAGCTTAGGAATGCTTGCTTCATTCTAGGTCAGGCTGCCTGCAGATATAGACCCTGTCCTCTGCTGCCTTACATCGCCGGTTACATTAAATACAGTATATGACCAGAGTTTATTAATACTGTACTATAGTCAACATCCATGCGAGCGTATACAATGGCCCCATGCAGAAAAAGGTCGGAAAAAAGGTGGTAAGGAGATGATTACTTTTGAAGAAGGAAATCTCACACTGAGAAGTATGAATGAAGTGTGCAAGTGGCCAAAATTCAAGAAGTCAAAATTCAAGAGGTGGCCGAGATTTTATAAGAAGTCGATGTCTGCATCTCGTCTGCAGAGGAGGAGGAGGAGAAAGAGGCAGAGGAATCCCTCACTTCAAATGAAATTAGGGAAATATGTCAAATGTGGGAAACTGCAAAATTTTGTAGAAAATCACCACCCAAATAAGGCTGTAGCAGTGTGAGCAATGAATCTGTTTAATGACAATGCAATGTCACATTTCCGCGAAATCCTCAAAAGGAGGCAAAAGCAAGTGTCATTGGTTAGGTTCCTTGTTAAAGTTGCATGAAAAAAAGATTCTACAGAGCCAGTAGATAGCAGTGACTCCGTTAGTGATCGTGAAAGTCATTCTCCACAGTCATCCTCCTCTCATCTCCCTCACACCAGGTTGTCAAAGGTAAGTGCAGGTTAATTAATTTATTTTTCTTTATATTTTGTATTTTATTATTTTGCATTATATTACAGTATTGTAATCATTTTTATATGAATATTTTTCGGTTGTGGAATGAATTATCTGAGTTTCCATTACTCCTTACGGGCAAATTCGCTTTGATATACAAATGCTTTGGATAAAAGCATGTTTCCAGAACGAATTATGCTCTCAAACCAAGGTTTTATATACTGTATAATGTCACATATATAGAATCTAAAAACAAACAAAAAATGAGTTAATCAATAGAGATTGGGGTTGCTGGGGGCAGGCGAAGGGGGAGTGTAAAATGGATGAAGGTGGTCAGAGTACAAACTGAGTTTAAGATAAATCAGTCTTGGGCATGTAATGTACAGCTTGGTGACTACAGTTAGCAATACTGTATCGTATACTTGAAAGTTGCTAAGAGAGTACATCTTAAAAGTTCTCAACAAAAAAATCTGTAACTTTTTGAGGTGAGAGATGTTAACTAAACTTACTGTGATTGTTCGGCAATATGTACAAATAAATAAATCAAATACATCAAATTGAATCAAATACATACATATCAAATCATTATACTGTATACCTATCACTAGTACAAAGTTACATGTGAATTATATCTCAATTAAAACAGAAAAGATCATCTTCTGAAATCTAAGGTTGATGCTAAAAAAATGGGTACTTCTCAAGTCTTCTTCAAAAATAAAGGTGAGTAGCTTCAGGAAGAAGGGGCCATGAGCAACTTATTTTGTAAATTGCCTGACCTAAGGTAATGGTGACTTTGGAAACTGGTAAAATTAAGTTTAAAAGTAACACTATCTGCGTTTACCAGGTTAAGAAGGTATCTGAAGTCCAGGCCACCAGACCAATTACCTATATGGAAATCTCTCAAGGACAACAAATTAGGCTGTAAGTAAAGGTAAATAAAGATCTTTTAAAAAAAATTGTTTTCCTTTGTGCCAAAAGTTAATACACTTTCCCTCTACTCTGTTTTCTTAAGAGTGTTTCCTTGAGCAAAGTGGTAAAGCTGACCCTGGAACAAGGCAGGCGCTAGGAATGCCAATGCCTGAGAAGTTGAAAATCCATGTATAACTTTGGACTCCCCAAAACCTAACTACTAACAACCTGCCATTAACTGGAAGCCTTACCAAAAAAAGTCATTTAACATATATTCTGTATGCTCTAGGTCTTATATGCTGTATTCTCATAATAAAATAAAGAAAATCATAAGAAAAATACATTTTCAGAATTGTACATATATTTACTGAAGAAAATCTTCTTGTAAGTAAACCTGCACAGTTCAAACCCTGGTTGTTCAAGAGTCAGCTATAACTAAATCCTGTCTCTTTGACATAAATGAACATCTTTTTAAAGGCTAAGTAACCCTCTTGTCAGTTTACAATGCAACAAAGTGTTTCTTAGAGGCTTTGGGACTATCTGTTTGAAATGTAAGCATCAAGAAAGATGAAGCCCTGATCTGAGTTTAGCCTTGGCACCTGGCTCCCTGTTGTCACCTCCTGTTTATCCTGAAGATACTGAGAAGTCTTATTTTTCCTCTGAATAAAGGCAATTAGCTAACACAAATAGCCACCCCAATTACTAGTGAATATACGATGAACTATGTGTAGCAAATGGTGTTGTCAAGTCCGCTTAAGGACATGTTAATCTTGCGAATAGGCAGGTAATATGAAATAGATTTTTATCTGCCTGGGTACATAAAAGAGTGAGCACTCTTTTTCAATCCCATTAGCAGATGGCCTGTGACGACTCGGCAATCTAGTTTAATGCTTATTCATCAATAAAACTCTTTAGTTCTTTTGTCTATTTGTAGAGAGGAATTTCTTAGTTGGTAGTTTTACTTTTAATTATTTCTGTAACAGCGTCCATGACCTGAAATATTCCTCCAGAACATTCAGCAAATCCTCAGAATCCCGAATGCACCAATCAACTTTTGGATGGCAATTTAACCACACACTTGCTCACCAGGAGGGTACCCTCCCATGCGGACAACTGTTTCAACTGATATATACACCTGTGTCTGTACTTCCAGGATCTCTCTGCAACTTTGTGTATGAACCAGTGACATCAAGGTACCTCCCCTCTGAGGCTGGGCCGAATGCAGGCAGAGATAATCCTCAAGGGTTCCTTCTTCCAGGGCAAGTCCAAGCACAATTTCATCATCTACCGCTCCAAGGCCAGCAAAACCCGGGCCACAGTAGGGACAATCCCTTTGGTAACACAGAGTCCGGGAGCAAGCTTTAACGTGAGGAATAATCGACATGCTTTTGAGAAACCTAATCAACCCTCCGCTGTGACGCCGCACTCAGGCAGGAAAATCGGGGCAACTTTTCATCCCACGATTTTGAACCAAATGGAGGCAAGGGGCGGCTCAGAACCCTACCCGCACCCAGTCAAGCGGACGATCCGCCCTCTGCACCTGTGGTTCTCGACCTTGTACTTCTCACGAATCTCCCTCCCGCTCTCCCTCCTCCAGCTCGGCTCCTTTCTCTGCAAGCGCGGGAGAGCCACGAGCCCCAGCAGTCTTCAACCCGCACCCTCGGGATAACACCGAGGCCCCGCCGGCCGTCCCCGGCCACCTGCTGGGCACCCCTGCGGCCTCACCTGCGGAGCGCGAGGGGCGCAGCCTAAGCCCGCGGTCGCCTTGCCGCTGGCCCCGCGTGAGCTTGTAAATGCAGTAGCAGGCGCCGGCCCCGAGGACCAGGCCCGCCGCCACCCAGCCCACGTGCCGGGAGCGGCCCATGCTACAGCTGGGGCTGAGGCGCAGCGCTGGGCCTGGCGCGGGAGGCTCCGAAGCAAGCGGGCCCCGCCGCCACCCCCAGCGCCAGCCGAAGAGCGAGAAAGGAAATGGGGCTTGAGCTCCGCCTACCGGAAACGGCCCTGCTAAAATAGTAAAACCGCCCACTCCGGCCCCCAAGCGTCCAGGCCGCTCGGCAGAGGCGGGGCGGGGGGCAGGGCTATGTGAAGGGCCTCAAAGACTGCGCGTCCCCCAGGGGGCGCACTGGGGTCCGCCGTTGTCCGGAGGTGGGCTTGCCCTCGCTTCGGCCCGGGCCCCGCCCCACCAGGGCCGAAGCCCGCCTCCCTCCCGGCTGCCCCAGGCGGTAGAGGCGTGGAACTTCGGGTGGAGCCCCGGCCCCTCCCCTCCCCCCCACCTCTCCCGCGGTTGCCGGGGCAACGCCGGGACGCGCTAGCCCTAAGCTCGGGCTCCGCGCCTGGTACGCGGGGCGCGGAAAGCAGGAGTTTCAGTGGGGCCTGTGGTCATGGCCTCGCTACGCACTGCCAACTCCCGGCTGAGGAACTACTTCAAAGAGAACTACATTCCTCAGGTCTGCGAGGTACTGGAGCCACGTGGCGGCGGAGTTACCAGAGGGGAGAAACCGAAGATATCCGGAAGGAGCTGGGGTTTAGCCGCAGAGGGAGCGGAGGGATTCTGGGGCGGAATGGGCCAGGATAAGGTTAGCCTTGAGCAGGCTGGCAATCTGGGCTGAAGATACAGATCAGAAAGGAGAGGACAGAGGGAGGTGATGGTGGCTGAAAGGGGGGAATGGGTGACCTAACTCGGGGAGAAAGAGTACAGGGTCCCGGGGCAGAAACCCCAAACTCCAAACTTTAAAGTTTGGGCGCATGGGGCGCGAGAGGGGCCTGAGGACAAGAGAAGTGCGAAAGCAGTGCCCTAGAAACAGAGGAGGAACATCCGAAGAGTGTGGCTTTATGAAGAGAGAGGGCAATAGTGCCACCTAAGGTGAGGTATAGTGGATTTGGCACACGGTGAGCCTGGGGTTTCAATGGAGTGGTGAAGGCAGAAGATAGAGACCTCTCGATGGAAGGTAGCCGGCCCTTTGTGAGGGGAAAGACCCCACCACTGGGATTGCCTTAAACAGCAAGACTGTTCCCTATCCCCACCATTATAACAGGAAGGGAGGAAGGAGGACAGGAGAGGGGTGGATAGGTTTTGTAGTTTTGGGGGTAGGAAGCCAAGAAAGTTCTCTGGTGACTTCCATTTTCTCTACAAATATTTGGTAAGATATTTGCTAAGAATTATATGTTTGGGTGGAGTTGGAGGCTGCAGAAGGGGTTTTGAGCAGAAATAAAGTATGTGGAGAGTGATGGGGAGAGAGGTCTAGCTAGGGAAGGAAAGAACCAGGCAGTATTGAGAGCCCCGCTTGGGATAATAACTCCTATACAGTTGGGAGTGCAATTTGGTACAGCCTTTTTGGATGGTAATTTAGACATATTGTTGATCAAACATTTCATTTCTAGGGATCCACTCTAGAGGTATACTTTCACATGTACCCAGAAAGCTGTCCAAGTATATTCATTATAGTGAAAATCATAAAGAACTTATATATGAATGAGAGAATGGGCTAGTATATAAAGTATATGTGTACCTTTTCAAAAGAAAAGCCCTCCAAGACACATTTAAAAAGAAGGGGAAAAAAATGCAAGTTGTCCCAGAGGTGTCTACAATTGACTCTACTCATATATTTATGTGTCCATATCTATCTACAGTTAAAACAATAACACATGCATAGAACATATTGCAACACTATTGACAGCAAATGTTTGTTTTAGGAGAGAACCCTAATTTTTTGTTCCATATAGATCTGTATTGTTTTAGTTTTTTTCTGATGAGTTTGATTCATGTTTTACTTCAATTATATTTAAAAATATCTGGAGAGCATGGTACTCATCTTCCCCATTGTGTGATTTTTCTTAAGCAGCAGTCAGTAAACCACATGTAGATACAGAAATAAGAGTTGATTTCAACCAGGATAGGTGTTTGCCAGGCATATAGTATGGAAGGGCAGCGGCAAAGGAACTAAGCTTTTCAGAGTGCCTGATGGGCCAAGGAACTGGGTGGGAAATGAGAGTAGGATGTGAGATTGATCTATGGGCAGAAAGTGAAGGTTCCTAAGGAGTGAAGAGGTGTAAAGGGAGTAATTGAGTGAGGGAACTGGAAAAGTAGGAGGTAGGGATCAGGAAGTGGAATGTTTGTATTTAAGATTTAGGGCAGAGTGATGACTCAGTCCAGGTTGGCTGTGGAGTAGGTAGCAGAAGTGGACTTGAGTTGAGGGTCAGGGAACATCAGGGAAGTGATAGCCTCTCCTCATCTTGCTCTCCACTTTCCATAACACTCAGAAGCTGCCAGAGTAATCCCTGGCTCCTCCTTTGGGTGAAAGCATCCTTTGCTCACCAGCCTACCAGGTTGCTTTGCTCCCAGAAGAAAGAGGCCCTCAGAAGTGCCCTTGGCCTAAGGTGACATTCTCATGACTCTCAGGAGTCCTTCACTCACTTCTGCTACCATGTTACCAATAGGCACAAGAGATCAGTTTTCTGGGGGCTCACACTCCCACCTTAACCTGGTTAACCCACTAACCCCAGGAGACTATCAGGATAAATCTCATTGTGCCTTTATATTCCTGCACAGCTATTCATCTAATCCAATTTGCCAGGACTGGCTATTTTCCAAAACCCATCTTCTACAAGCTTTGCAATGTGTGTGTGTGTGTGTGTGTGTGTGTGTGTGTGTATACACACACACACACACACACACACACACACACATTATCATGGATTCTCTGTGTATTTAACCTCTTCTGAACTTCACCTACCTATCCTAAATAAAACCTGGATATCATTTCCCTGAAAACCCTCGCATGGAGGCTGATTTAAAACAAACAAAACAAACAAAACAAAACAAAACAACACCCCTGCTTCACTTACTGGGCTACTGATTCTAATTGATGACGGTTTTCATCAGTTTTAGAAAATTGTGGATCATTTCAAACAATGCTTCTACCCAATTCTCTCTACTACTTCTGGGACTCCAATCATAAATATGTTAGGTTTGGTTTTTTTGTTCTGTTTTGTTTTTTCCCTATTTTTCTCTTTGTACTTGTTTGGATATTTTTCACTGATTGTCTTTAAGTTTATTGATTCCGTTTTATGCTGTGTCCAGTCTACTGTTAAATATATCAAATGAGTTTTTAATTTCAAACAGTGTGTTTTCCAGTTTTAGAATGTCAGTCTTTTTTTATACATTCCAATCAAAATTCTGCATCTTTTCATCTATTTTGTCTACCATTTCCTGCTTTCATTAATATGTTGTTATTTTAAAATCATTGTTAACATGAACAACTTAGAAGTCTCACGGAATGGGGTGATTGTTGAAACTGGGTTATGGGTACACAGGGGTTCATTATACTCTTGTTTACTTTCTCTGTGTTTGAAGTTTTCTATAATAAGAAGTTACAAGAGAGTAATGGCTGGGTGTTTTTTTCTCATAATGTATGTAGCTAGGGATGGATGGAATAATAGGTTTCATTTGGCTGTATAGTCATTTTCTATTTGCTGTATCAATTATCCATTGCTATGTAATACAACTATAAAACTTAGTGACTTAAAACAGCAGGAATCATTTTGTTTGCTCAAAAATCTGAATTCTGATAAGGTTTTTCAGTTTTTCTCTGCTCCATGTGGTACCATCCGGGGTGATGGACAGGGGTTAAAGGTCCACTTTTATAATTTAATTTAATTTAATTTAATTTAATTTAATTTAATTTAATTTAATTTAATATAATTTAGTGTGTGTGTGTGTGTGTGTGTGTGTGTGTGTGTGTGTGTGTTTGCCACTGTGCAGACTGTCCCCAGCAAGCCTATGGGCATAGAGACTTTCTCTGAGTACCTGCCTCCAAGCCATTATTGCTGTGGGACATGAGACAGTGATGGCCCTTGAAGTTATCAAGGCAGTAGATAAGAAGTCATCCCCTGCCAGCAAGGTCCCAAGTCAACGGTATTGAAGCATGTCCTCTAAGATCCACTTTTAAGATGGTTTGCTCACATGCCTGGCCAGCTGGTGCTGGGTGTTGGCTGGGAGTTCAGCTATGTCTGTGAGCCGGGAGGCTTGGTTTCTCCATATGGGCCTCTTCATGAGCTGCTTGGACGTCCGCACAGTATGGTGGCTCAGTTCTAAGAGCAAATGTTTCTAAAGAGAACCAGGTATGTTCAATTCAAGTTAGTTAGGTAACTTATTTTTTTTTGAGCAACAGATTAGGCTCTTGACACCAGCCAGCCTTTTTTTCTTAGGGGATGGTAAGTGTGGTAAGCTAAGGAGGGTACATTAGACCATTCCATCAGCAAATATTTGCTGGGCATCTACCATGTGTTAGTAGAAAATACCTCAATGGTTTTAGCCACTTGCAGCTGTGAATTTGAAGCTGTTTCTAGCCCAAACTTTTCTCCTGCATTCTCTGTGCATTTGTCTGTTTGGGTGTCCTATAAATACATACATTAAAGAAGTAAAAATAAATAGGTGAAGTTAATTTAAAAAATTGTTAATGCTTATTTATTTTTGAGAGAGATTGTGAGTGGAAGAGGTGCAGAGAGAGCTGGGACAGAGGATCTGAAGCGGAGAGCCTGATGCAGGGCTCGACCCACAAACTGTGGGATCCTGACCTGCGCTGAAGTCAGACACTCATCTGACTGAGCTAGCCCTGGTGAAGTTAATTTTAATATATTTTAGAAAAACAATCTGTCCGGAATATCATCATTTCAACATGGACTCAATGTGAAATCACATTATGTCTTAGAATTGGATGTGTATTTTACACTTACGTCCCATCTCAATTTGGACCACCATGTCTGAAGTACTCAATAGCCATGTGTAAATAGTAGCTACTATATTGGGCAATGCAGGTCTAGAATATATTTACATATTTAATAAATCAAGGAAAATTACCTCTGACCCAGAAGTGATCACTGTGTCTCTAAGAAGTTTGTTCTTTTCTTTTTTTTTTTTTAAGGCTTTTTATTTATTTTTGGGACAGAGAGAGACAGAGCATGAACGGGGGAGGGGCAGAGAGAGAGGGAGACACAGAATCGGAAACAGGCTCCAGGCTCGAGCCACCAGAGCCAGAGCCGGGCTCTGAACTCACAGACCGCGAGATCGTGACCTGGCTGAAGTCGGACGCTTAACCGACTGCGCCACCCAGGCGCCCCATGGAAGTTTGTTCTTTTCAAGAGCACAACGCTTCTGGAACTTCAGGGAGAGTCTGAGTGGCACAGTGAGGGTAGAGGGGCTATAATGGCCAGTCAGCTTGGTGACTTCCAATGATCAGTGGGGTCACACATAGGACAGCTATTCTCACATACACCAAAGGAAATTGATGTCTAGGTTCAAATCTTCAAGAATCACCATAATTAGATTTTATTGTGAAAATGAAAGAAGTGATAAGAGCATTCTATCAACTGAATGTTGGGTCTCCCCAAATTCATCTGTTGAAACCTAATGTTCCATGTGATAGTATTTGGAGGTGGGGACTTTGTCGGTGATTAAGTCATGAGGCAGAGCCCTCATGAGTGGGACCAGTTCCCTTATAACAGAGGCCCCACAGAAATCCCTTGCCCACCTATGATGTGAGGGCGCTATGAGAAGATGGCCATCTATGAACCAGGA